GCATTAAGAAATTAATGTTTAGTTGGATTTGGGCCTTAGAGWAGTGCCCAAGACTATGTTATAGATCACAGCACCTAAATCTACCAATCTTAAGGCTGGATTAACTTGCATTTTATTAACTGGCCTTTTTCTTATGGTCACCATGACATTTATGTATGATATAATATTAAAATTATCTGTAATACATACACTACTTTGCCACTCTTTTTTGTTTGCACCTCTAGGCAGTAGAAGAAATGAACGCATTTCTCTCCAAGGCTGGTTTTCTTTTGAGGTGTGACATGCAATTCTGAAGGTTAAATGCATGTGAGACTTGCTTTAGTTTCTTGTCTTTCAGCTCTCCCTTGTTTCTCCTTCTCCTCAGGCCTGTTAGCAGCAGAAGGTACAGATAACTCGTGCTTTAGGATGGGCTGTATCTCCCCCACATGCATAGGACTTGCACCTGCTTGCAAAGTGGGAAGTGCAGAAGAACTGAACATCCACCAGGAGAAAGAAACCTACTGTGCTTGCAGGGGCTCCTGGGTATTTGTTGGCAGTGTTGACAAAAACATTTCAAATTTTCACATTATTAGAGAGCAAATGCATGTGGCTGCATGCATGCAGGCATCTTCTCCTAGCGAATTTGCTGTCAAGTTTCCTCCTGAAAATAAAAAAACAACTCCTCCCAAACTTCTCCAGAGTAAAAGCTGAGTATCTGGTGCGGGCTATACCTGTCCAAAGAAACCAGGCATTGCTGTTGTTACATTTTTATCYTAATGCCACTATTAACACAAAAACACAGGCTGGATGTCCTAATTTGTAAGAGTGAACATTTCTAATTTAGCTTTTTCAAGGGAATTAAGCAACAAATGCCCCCTTTCTGCCTCCTTCCTGCTGGTTTTCTTTCACCTCAGCGATTGCTTCTATTAATAGCTAGAACTTGGAAAGCTGAAGTCCCAAATCTGCTCTCTCATTTCTTACAAATACTTAATGGAAAATAAATTAAGTGACTTGTTAGGACATTTAAAAGATTCTCAAGCTTATTAGAGAAAAAAAGAGATCTCTGCACAACTGTATAAGCATATTCAAAATAAGCGGGTTCCTCATTTTTTAATGTAGGACATCTCACTTCTGGTCTGTCCACAGTTTATACAAAATAAACTTTCTTATTAGGAATGTAATTTTCTAGCTCAAATAACGCACCATTCTCAACTAAGAATAAAATGATCCACGTACTTCGGCACCTTCCCTAAAGTCTCACATTATGGCCCGGTATCAGATGTCAGCACCCTAAAAGGARCAAGCCACCAACCTGGACTGAAGGCATTACGGGTCAACGGAGTAGCAGTGCCCAGAGTTTCCATTTCTACTCCACAATGAAGTGGAGTCTCCGTCTCACGCTGGTTYTGGTGACACCTGACCCTGGGAGACAGCATCTTCCAACTCCTTCCTGCCACAGCTTCTCACAGCTGGTGTCAGCTACAGCCATGGCAGCTGGACCAAGGCAGAGCAAACACAAACWTACGGGCTGCTGCAAGTATCAGAGAAGAAAGTGTCCTCTCATACAGTGCTTTCCCAGAGGAGAWGAGGACAAGTCATGCCCTTGCTGTGTTCTGGAGTATGAGGATGCATATTCTCTGCAGCTGCTATGAGAAAAAACTAAGCAGCCTTTGAGATCTGGGGAGGGCGATCCCACCTTCCTCAGGCTMCCTCAGCCAACAGGGACCAGAGGCCACATGCAACTCCTCCCATCGTGCATTCCTGGGGGGCAAGTATTTTTCCAATCTTTCGTTCCACCCTCATTAAAAGAGAATCACGGCTGCCAAGGAAAGCCATGCTGTCTGACTTCAATTCGCTGACTTTGGCAATCCAGTTTGCAGGTGTGAATGCAGCTCTGCAGGATCTCTGGTGAAAGAGATCACATCATTGATGCAACATCCACAGGCAGCAGATTTGAACTGTGCTGATTGTCAGAAGAGGGAGTGGAGGGCTGTACTCACACAAGAAAGCAGACACATGATTTGAAACAAACACACAATATGTACAACAACAAGCTACAAAAAACAGCAGAAAAAAGGAAAGTAGCAAGAGCAAAAATCTGTTTTGAGAAGACATCAGAGTCAGGTAAGGCTGAATGTCCAACCTAAATTAAATTCTGCATGGGACTTCTCAAGAAGACCAAACAGCACAGGGATGTAAGGAGCATCCATCACCTAGCAGAATGAGTTCAAGACTTGAAAAAGCACCTAAGCAGGTGACTTACTGAATACAGAGTTACTGGTTAGGGRGTTAATGCTAAGAACAACAGCACTACAATCCTCACAAAAAAAACCTAAGGCAGCCATCTCATATCTAATAAAATCATAGGCAAAAAGAGAACAGCATTCATGTATTTCAAAATTCTTCAAAAAATATAAAGACAGCCAGAAAGTAACAAAGCATTAATCCCGCTCATGTCAAAAACATTAAGCACAGAGAACAGCTAAAATTCATTTTAGCCTTTCTCTTCCTTTGCTATTTTGAGGTACACAGATAACTGTTTTCTCAGTCAYCTTCTCAGAAGAGATATGTTAAACTCTTTACAATGGTTAGGATTATTTTGCCAAATAGTCCTGATATAAAATGAATGGAAACCGGGAGCATCTTACGAGTCTGGTTGGCTAAAAAAAGGACTACTTACATTGTGGAATTTTTTCTCTTCATTCCTCAGACCAGAGAAAGAACATTTTTCTGAACAACTCAGAAGAAATGAAGTGTGAAAGTGCATGTGATATCACATTTACTAAAATTACAGAATTATTCTGTATTATCATCTAGAATGCAGTTAACATTCTTTTCAAACGTAGTAAAACAATTATCAAGTAAAAATTGTTTAAAATCCCTTTGTTACCCAAACYTTTGCCAACCAGAAGGCAGTACTATAACTTGAAACCAATCATTCAGTCAATTTTTCATTCTCCTATTTACATTAAGCTGACCACAAGCACTGGAAAAAGACTTCAGATGGTCATGGAGCAGGTACAGACAAACATCTGCATCTTATCTCACACCTGCCTGCACTGCATCCTCTCCATGGATCTTCTGGAAAAAGATGTTCAGAAGCAGCAAAGTGGTAGATGCACTATTTCCATGCAACCTGCTAAAGCCTACATATTAAAGAGCCTATTGTAGGGAAAATTCTAAAGACAGGAAAGAAAACAAAAAGACAGAAAGGAAGGCTTGGCTGATTAATTTTCTTGCTTTAAAAYTAACTGGGAAGTGCTAGAAGATTACTCTAATGACTTTTTTCTTCATACTCTCTCATCCTTCCAACCTCAGTTGTATCATGCATATTATAGTCCAGATTGTGTTTTCCACTTGAAATGGCAACGCAGAATATCAACTCAGTTGAAGGTCTGTTAGGCTTTGCTAGTTGCTTGAAAAGGCAGTCATCTCTTTCCTCTAGGTCTTTATCATGTTGAAAAGTTTGGAGCTTTTAGATTTTCGCCCCCAATTTGGAAGGCAGAAGAAAGAAGGGGAAAAGAGGGTAGAGAAGTATATTCTTCTTTATTGTGAGAAGGCTTTAAGCAACAACTGGGATAGGAAGGACTACAAAAATAGCTGGTTTTAATTCCTGGTAGCTTGCATCTTAAGAAAAGGTAAAACATTTCTGTCATACAGGCTTGACAGAGCAAGTTTATCTTTTATGAACTTAAAATTACAAAGGCTATGTATGTGCAGATACTTATTTAAAATCAGAATTATTGAAAATGTGAAACAAATCAAGCTCTTTCCCAATAGTTCATTTTGTTATTAAAAAAAAAATCTAGTTCTTCTCATTARGAAGGACTGTAAAAGTAGCAGATCTATCTGCTCAAGACAAAAGCAAAAGCTGCTAAATTCTATACAATTTATACCATCTCCCAGTGTTAAGAAATAATCKGAAAGCTTTAATACATTTAAAATTTATTTAAACAAATTTCAGCATAGACATTAAATAGAATTATGCAAATTCTTAGACATGTGCAAGGATTAACTTGAAAAATATTCTCAGATAAGCTTCAGATGCTGGATTACTTTGGTGACTGGAAGGTAATACTGCCTTGACAATGAATTATTTGCTTGTGTGCCTTRTTGTGAGTAAAGCTCCATCCTAGGTGACTTGGATAAATGTTCCTGAGAACACTATATAGCATTTTCTGTCAGAAGAAAGATCAGATAAGTCTTGGAAACATAAGAATGAACACAAAACTGAGACAATTAATGGATAAATCCTTGCAAARACCATAAAATGATACTCAGTGGTGTAAGTTGCTTTGCACCATGGAGAAACACTCGCAGTCTGGGGACATAGCCTTCTGTGTTCCTAAGACACCTCCATTAAGATGTACGCAATGGCAGAAATATAAACACTCATAATGCTGAAAAATTGTTTCAAGAAGTCTGGTAAGATAGGGCGAAAATTTTCACCTATCAAAACTGCAGTCATATAGTTTCAGTTTATATTATCCATACAATGGAAATTAGATATTTAACACCATTCTATGAATATAAGCACTACTAAACACGGTAGCTTTCTTGWGACAAACACTGTCACTGTTTTCCCCAGTGCAGCATAGCTACCTACCTTCCAGTACTTTTTGCTATCAGCACAATTAAGGAGTAAAGAAAAGGATCTCTCAAAGAACATCCTTGTTTCATCCACAGAGCTAAAAGTGGTATTCCTGGAACATTTCCTTCTGGGCACTCTTTATCCACACAAAGGGAAAAAACCAAAAAGCCACCCTTCACCATATATTAGAGCAAGCAATTTAATGATCTGAGGAAAGAAAAAAAAGCAGCAACTTTCACAGACTACACTCACTGTACGTGGTATATCGTCATTTTCAAGGCACCAGATGCGCGATAAAGGAGACAGGGTAAAGGAAACAAAAAGACATTTGGTTATTTCTTGCCGAGCAAGTATCAAAGAAGTTGTGCAATTTGCAGAAGTTATTTTTCAAGCAGAACAGTTAATCCAAGATGTAGCACCTATCACCTACCTTGTAGAAGGGCTCCATTTCTCTTGAAAAAGGTGCTTCCTGGCCAAATGGGTGGACCTGATGTGCTAAAAGGAATAAGAAACAAGTGTAAAGAAAATCACATTTGCATTTTAAATTGCAATTATAAGTTACTATTTGCATGAATTCTATTTTGTTCTTAAAGCTAATGTAACATCATGACACTTTTGGCTTCAAGCAAGGGTCTAAAATTTCATGTTAAAAATAGGTGAATTTGATACAAGATTGACATTCTCTTCACAAGGAAAAACCTCAGCACAGCACACACCCACACTCTGTTGGAGGAAGAGAGAAAAAAGCAATTTGGAATAAATAATAAAAAAACTCAAATCAACGCCAAAGATATTTACTGAATTCTCAGTACAGCAAAATGTAAGCCCTTTCCCAACGACACSTGCTAAAAACTCAAATATTTTATGGCTTTTACTCAGCCATGACAACATACTGCCCCAGCTAACGTGTCTGCCCAGGCCAGCCCAGCCCAGACRCCGGGCAGTTCTCGTGCTCACCCACGAACCCCCTCGCACGCAGAGGTCCCCTCACAGCAGCAGAAAGCACAGCTCAACACATCGTCTGCCAGCACAAGCACGGACAAATCTTGGCCTTTGCCGTGCGCTTGGAGACCATGGCGGCCCCTGCAGGACCCTGTCAGGYGGTGGCCATGGGGGCACCAGGTACCTGGCAGGTGTCACTGCCCGCCTGAACCAAGGCCCTGCCCCGAAATCAGACAGAGCCAGCTTCCTTCTCCGGCTCACACAGACGCTGGCCAAAGGTGATGGCAACAATATTTCAAGCACAGGAGAGTGAAGAGGAGGTAACACTGGTAGGATCAGCTAAACCTTGTTTTCTTGRATGCCTTGGAGCAGCCCACAGTGCTGTGGGCAATAGACTGTGGAGCATCCGCTCCAACAACCTGCAGTGCTGGTGGGCTGGGGAAGAGGGGAGGCTGTCAGGAAGCTTCCCTGCAGCAGCTGCCCAGCACAACTCGAGATGAGAGAACCGAGSGGAGGCGACCCTGCTCCTGCCCTGCATGTGGAAGGGTGTGGGGCCAAGTTACTCTACATAACCCCCACCATCGCTGCAGGCATGATCTGGGAGGAAAAGCCAGGTGCCCCAATAAAAGGGTGCCATTTTGCCTCCACAGTGGGCATATGTTCAGATCAGCCTCTGAGGACCTGGTCCCTACCACCATCATTGACACCCTCCCTCCTCCCCCCCATTTTCTCTGGAACACAGTTATGAGACACAGTGATCAAAAAAAAAGGCTAAAATGCAAATCCACAGYAGTGTTGAATGGACAGTCCTGATGTGGAGGCTGCCAGAGTGAAATAAGTGGGGGGGTGACCCCAACCCAGCTGAGCCTGTTGAGCCGAGCCAAAAGAAGCCCAGCCAAACCAAGCCCAAAGGAGCGGAGTGGAATGGTTGGAAAGCTGCAGCAACGCCGGGGCTGACCCCTAGCACATCACAGGGGTAGAGATGGTGGCACAGGCATCTGCAAGGAACTGAACCCAGTAGCGCAGCAGTGCGACTCAACTCAGATGACCTAGCTTTTGGGAGGTTTGCTTGTCATTGCTGGTTGTTGTTTTGGCTAGGTGGCAGAAAATGCTATCCACAGGAGTCCCCCCACCATCTCGCCTTTGTTCTAAACTACCACAGGAATGATCACTGGATCGCCTTGGTCAGGGGAAGCCACATGGACATGACCTACAGGGAGTGTCCACCATCCCGTTTTTGTTCTCAGTAGTGAAGACCTTTATTATGGACAAACTACCTTCTCCCTTTGTATATTTTTGGTACTAATGTTGTTGTTATTGTGCATTTCTTATTCTATGGTTTTTTGCTTTCAGTAAATTGTCATCTCAACCCACAGTCTCTGCTCTTGTCCCTCCCTTGCTAAAAAAGATGAAGGAAGGGGAGCGGCTTATTTGGGGTGTGATTTCCTGCTGGTGTTACAAACCACCACCCTCTTTTCCTAATAATGCCACTGACTGCAGTCCTGGTGCATTCTCCTTCCCCTATGGCACAGCCAATCCTCTCCATGGTCTGCAGGTCATGCTGCCCAGAGCAGGAATGTCACCAACACTCCCACTCCTGCTGTGTGGGCARTCCTCAGTGGGAGACCCTACCTGCAGGAGTTCGCTGATGGGATCTGAAGGCTCAGGCACAGTAAGTATTTTAAAATCACAGTACCTGAGGGAAATAACTATTTATTGCAGCATTGTCAAGACACATGGAAGAAGCACACTCCCACATAGTCTTTCCTGTAGACAGCAAACAGGTTTCAAAATCCTTTACAGCTTTCACTGAAATTAGCATCATAAAACTATGCTACCAATATATAAATAATTGCCCGATGCCCAAAGTCAGACACAATTTATAAGTAAGAGACTGAAAATCTTGGAATAAGATTGCTGTAAGGCACTCTGCCTTTTTAAGAGAGTAATCTTTCCTCCACGGATACAAAGTGTGAACCAAGCCCAACCCATTTCTACTCAAAGTTACTTTTGTCTCCTCTTGAGKTGACAATTGTTACACAAAATGAAACAAAATGAAAACAGGTGCTGTCTGTTACACTGACAGCATTAGCAAAGTTCTGATAAAAAGCCATATAGTAAAAAAACCCCACTGCTTCCACAATTCTTCTGCAGAGTCTTGTGCTAATATGCACAAGTAAGGACTGTTATACAGATCCAAAGCAATCACATGCGTAATRAAAACCTTCAATACTCCTGTACAAAAAGGGGAATTGAGAGAGAGAGAAGTAGAGAGAGGAAGCAAAATGACCAAAAAGAAGTTAAGTAGGTCTACATTCTAAGTGCTGGAGTGCGTGGGGCACACACTTGTCTGAATACACAYGCTCACTTCACAGTGCTTAACGCACCAATTGTTTGCATTCCTTATAGCAAGCACAGGCTCTTCAGTGTAGCTCCTCAACTCATAGAAGGTCAAGAGCTGTTGAGGGCATTCACACTCCTGGAGGATTCTCTCCTGTAACATATGTTACAGTGCATCAGAGTCCCGCATAATCTCTGGAACAGGGCCCATCGGGCTGCAAATGGAAAGCTGTAACATTGTCTTGAYTTGCCAAGTACAGATTTGTCAATCAGAAATCATAGCATGGCAACTGTATGCCTTCCAAAAGCCCAAGAGAAAAAAAGAATGCCCAATTCTAAAATGACACAGCAAAAGAAATTCAATCCCAGGCCCTTGTAAGTGGGGGGAAAAGGGTTAAAGAAAGGAGTGGGAAAGCATATATATTTGAATAGGCAAAAGGTCTCCACTGGAGAAACAAAGCCACAGTGATTTATCTTATTTTCCAACTTGAAAAAAGGCCCAGAGCTCCCATAAAAATCTCCATCTGATTCAGCACAAACCCACATGAACTGAGAAAATTAACTGTGTCTTCCCAGGGAAGGAAGCTAAGGAATCAAAGCATGTAAATAATGTACTGCAGCAACTATCAAGCCTTTCAAAACAACAAGCTTCTATGTTTGCAGGGCTTTACTGAAGTTTAGCTATGTCTGGTCTGGATTGGATAAATTTTCATTCTGTTCCCAAACTTTTGTATGTTAAAGTCTCAGAGGGTATTAATTATTAAAACATATTTCAAGCTGACAAATGACAGGTTGAACTCTCTCTCACTTTAAAATGTTAAAAGTATGCTTCCTCTCTGTTCCAGACTAAGAAACCATTTGAAGAAGTTAATTCTTCTAAAGACCATCAATAAAAAAAAATCCCATTTGCTCCATCCCAGGCATTTTTTTCAAACAAGTTGTTTCTTCAGTATAGCCTGTGAGCCACAAAAGAAGAGTGGMTGTTTCTCCTACAGAAGTAACAGCAGATTCTTCATTTAGGCAAAATAAAAATGCAAAATCTGGGGTTTCCCAGATTTTTTTACAATTTTCCTTTGTAATCAACACCTGATACGAAATTAATATTTATGCCATTAGTATTATCARTGGAAGAGTTTTTCCCCTAATTTACCAACTAAACTCACTGACTAAAGTGGTATCTATTGGAAGAAAAGCAGTAACTAGTTTGAACTCTCATCTTGCTGTGAAGAAGCTTGGGGCCTAACACATTTTCACTATGCGCGCGTTTGGACTGGCCTAACTCCGAGAAGTGATGAGCACAGGACACTTGCGGGGGTGGGTGGAAGATGAATCCTGATAAAAGCTGAGATTGCAAGCAAACATCTTGAAAGAACAATTAGTTTAGTTTATGAATTAGACAATGTGTGAAACATCAAGTTTCCTGCCAAGAATCATTGGTTTGATTTTCAGAAAACCCTGTAGTTTGGATCATACCTTCAGCCAACAGGATATCTAGTCTGCAACAGTATTTGTAGCAAATGCATAAAACAGGATGTGGAGGTGCAAGTTCAAATGCATCCAGTGCACGACCCACCTCTCTCCTAAGCACAGTCAYTGGCACTGTGGCATCTGTGCACCACCACAGGGAGCAAATGAACCATTCACAGCCTGCTGAACCTGTACCTGAGAGAACTGAAGAGGACTGTGTTTAACTCCTGAGGAACTGGGAGCCACATCTGATCAAAGCCCACCTTTCTCATGGATGTGCTAGCAATTTTTCATGCAAGCAGGACTTGGTTTCCACTCGAGGCAAGCAATCAACTGTTCTTTCTCTCAAGATACAGCCAGCAGGAAACTTCTTTGTGCCACTGGGCCCCAGGCATGGGAAACTTCTTCACTGCGGGGATTTTCTTGAGGAAAGGCTCGTCCATAGGAAAATGCTGCTTTGCTGAAATCTAAAACATTCTACAGGAATGCATTGATTTGAAAACTGTTTCTACTGGAAACTAGGCAGAGATGAAGGCTGTCCAGCCACTGAGGGTTCASTGCAGCTGGCCAGCTCAACCAGGAGCTCCCAGGGCATACAGAAACAATAATTTGTGTGACCCCTGCCCCTCTTGATTAATTATTTCTACCAAAACTTATGGTGGACACTTACATAAATCTTCAAAAGGTGCACAGGCTTCAAGAAACTTAAAAAAGGAAACATAATTTTTTTGTCTTCTGGAATTCAC